TTCCACATGGACTTAAAACTTTTTAAGTGCATTCTGTCTGGGTGATATTTCCTTTACTTTCCTGATTTTGTATGTTCATAAACCCAAAAGTGCCAACACAGTAAACTGATCTTATTTCTTTAATCAATTTAAAAAGTATTATTTTTATACAATATTAAGCAGAAAAAATAAAGTAAAAATCCTGAACAAAAAAAAATTTCATTAGCTATAGGATTCGGTATTATGCAAAATTAGGAACACTGTAAATTTGGGCTTAGGAAGTACATCTTTTTCAAGTGTTTACAACATTTAGGAAGAATCTTCAGAGTTGAAAATGCTTAAAATATTTTTTGAAGTGACTTCTAATATAGCTCCTTTCAGTGCGATCGCTTGCATTCACTGGTTTTCTGAAAGGCGGTCATACTGAGCATTAAGGGGGAGAAATATGGAGCAAGCTAGAGGTCTGAGATTCACATACCTTGGGAAAGATATTTATTCTTCCTCTCCACTTTATGTATTGTGGATGGGTGTGATGATGCCTATCATTTGAGATCTAGTGAGCTAAGGTATGTTCAGGGTCTGGCAGATGACCTAGCTCAAGGTCAATGGTAATGGCAAAGGCAGCCAGCATAGCAGCAGGTTGAAGCCCTTCAGTGGACTCTGGTGTTATAATTTTAGTAGCTCTGTGACCTTGCATAAATTAACCTGGTGCCTCTAAGTTTAAGTTTTCTCAACTATAATGGGTCATGGTGAAGTCTGAATAAGATAATATAAGCAATATGATCGGCATGGTGCCTAGCTCAAAATAAGTGCTCAGTGAATCAGTACTTTTATTAGTAAAATAAAAATGTATCTGGAACAAAGGAGCCCAGATACTAAAGAAAAAGAGACATTTAATATTTTCTGAAATTGAAGAAGCTATTTCTTAGTCACAGAGCAAAATAATTGTCTCTTTACTAAAAGATTAAAATTGTAACCTTACTTGGAATGCTGTCTGATATCAGCAGATATAGCAAAATGTCAGAAATAGTCGAATCAGAAAAAAAACCACAAATAGATATAATATTTTATGAGTTTTTTTTAACTCAGGTAGCAAAATTATAAATTAAATTAGCAAAGTATCTTCTCAAGCTCTCTTTCTCATCTGCAATCCTGGAAAAATGGAGTATAATTCCAAGTAGTTGAGATACACAGTAAAGAGAAAGCTTTCTAAATGGCTTACTAGAAATCAAGAGCATGTTAAACAAAGCTGAATGAAAAGTCAGAGGCAGAATATTAACATTTTTTACCTATGAGGAAGCAAAACTCTTGAGTGGTGCCTAACAAGCCTTCAGCAATTCAGCTTTAGTTCTGTAAGATGGTGATCAATTCAGCAGTTAGTCTACCCAAATGAGAGGGAATAAACTATGAAACTAGCAATAAGGAAATTCTGATGAGTTATAATGATAGGAAGGTTAAAGAATCACTGACTATAATATGATGAGGCACAGAAAAAAAAGGCTGAGTAAAGAAAGAAACACCAAACTTAAGTGACTAAATACAATGAGAAAAGAATGGCGAAATCTTGCCTGTGTACATCTCTCCATCCAGGACAGAGAGTCATAGCAGCATTTAAAAATCCAATTAATAAGGGTTCATTGTCTGACCTGTGTGTCTCTTCCAAATACTTGATCCTTGGCCCCCTTTTATTGTTACTGGAGACCCTGGTGTTTTTCTTGGCCTCCGCCAAGGGCAGGGTGAATGCTGGTGAGGGCTCTGTGTGAGGTTGGGATTTACCCTGGAAGTGGGCGTGGGAAGACGGGGTGAAATTCCAGACTCTTAGCATTAATAACCTACCTTCTACACCATCAACAGTTGTTACACTTACTTCTACCATTTTCGAAAGAATACCATATTTTAAACTGCCATTAGTATTGGATAAATTATAAAACTACATTACTACTCGAGTTTTTCATTCCAGTACTTAGGAGAAAAAGCTGTGGAAAATGTAAAATAGTATAACATCATTTGCCATATACAATATCATAATAATGTGTAAATATAAACTCCTTTAAATTATATCTTGTTTTGTAATTTATGTAATCCAAATTATGTGCTTTATTTCTTTCATAAGTAAGACTGCAACCAGAAAGTAAAAATTACAACAAGAATTTCATTGCACTATTTCTTCTACTTTTTCCCCTGCGACAGTGTGGCAAAGTGGTTAAGAATACAGATTTTAATATTATAAGATTGAACTGGACTGAGCCCCAGCTTTGTTACTTTTTAACTTTTTAACTTTTTATCTGTCTCCTTAGTCAGCTTAATTCTTCTACCATTAGTTTTGTGTTTATAAAAAATTATTATGACTGCCCTAAATAGTTGTTGTAAGATAAATTTGATTCTGTTTGCAGTGTTTGCTGCAGTGTTTTTGGTTAGTAAATACTCAAAACAAAGTAGTTGTTTTCATTTTGGAGGTCACATTGAAATAGCTATGTATACAAGCAGCAGAACTCTGGCCCAAGTAATTTAGACATATAAAAAGTCTTTTATCAGTTATTTCCTTTTACAAATAAAACAACTAGAATCTTGGACCAAAAAACTTAGATGACATTCAATATTATGGGTATTGGCTGCTGAGATAAATTCAGGAAGCAAAGTGTTTGACTGCTTGTCTTACACCTTTTAAAATTTCTCTATAATGGCCAATAGGAGAGGATGGAGGTTATTTTAAAATAAACAGTAAATGTGAGTAGAGTTAAGTTCAGGGTAGCTTTGCATCCAAAGCAATAGCACGTCATGTATATATAAATGCATAGTCAGCGGGTCAATCAAAATGCTTCAGCTTTTATTTTAGGGCAGTGTCCCTAGAAATGAAGGGGATGATAATTCTTAGGAAGAGGATCCCTTAAAACACATACCTGGAATGAAATAAAATATTTTTCTAAGATATTAACAAACACAGTACTCTTTGGGGTTGTTTGTTTGTTTGTTTTTACTCAATACACATCAGTGACATATGGAATGTTCATTCATTTAAGTAGGCAGAACAATGTTGAAGGATGCAAATGAAGTTTATGATAGAATATACAAATTCCTGATCTCATTGGTGCCCCAGTACTTTGTAAAAGAAAATTAGAATTTATTTCCCTAAGGTTATATGGCATGGCATATGTTGAAAATTATGAGAGCATTTCTTAGCCTTAAGGAACCCTTCCTAGATGAGCATCCTCTAAAATACAGTTGTGGAGAGATGACTTCAGGGACTTGGCCAAACTTCAGGAGAGTAATGCAGAACAATTTGAGAATAATGTGATTATTATTTTTCCTTCCAAAAAGCTTCTCTTTGTCTCAACAAAGTAATTCCTCTTGTCTCCTCCTTCACTCTGCAGTAAATAAATTCAAACTCTATCTCAGATTAAAAGAGGTTAACTAGAAGGAAGGAAAGATAAGAAATGACTAAATTGAAGTGGATGGATCTACCAAAGCAAAATATGGCTGAGTAAAAGAGAATTAACAAAGGGAAAAGACACAGCTGGAATAACCCCCAATCCTAATTCTTAAATTCAAACTCCAGTTAACTTTTAATATCTTTGAAATGTGAGGCTGCCTTCAAGAGACTAAACTAACCGAGGATTGAACTTGTTTCATGCAAGAGTACAAACGCTCCTCTAGACTTTCAATAAGTCTGGCACAGTGTTCAGATTAACTAAATTTAATCATTTTAAATTTTACTCATGGGAACCACATGCAGTTCAGCCTAATTTTTATATGCTTTTAATATTGCAGTTCCTAAACTGGACATGAGGTGCCTTGGAACACTGCAGTACACTCACCAGGGTGCCTCAAAATGTCTTACAATTTTAAGGGAAACACAGATCATTGGCATCTCTCAGGTGTCTAGAGGTATTCTCAGTTTTAAGACTACATTTGGCTCTGTTCCTTTAGAGGACATCAAGTCTTTATAGAGCTGGGCAGGATGAAAATCAACGTGAAACAGGAAATGAGGGTGGTGATATCCAATCTGATTCCAAGGCTTGGAAGTTTCCGTTAGTAACTTACTAAGAGTGACACAAATATCTGTATGTGTGATTCATGATGTATATTATTTTTTAACTGGCTGCTAAGTTTTTGGACATAAACAGTTAAGTTATTTGGACCTGACCACTTAATAACCAGAATTGTCAGATTTTTGTTTTGTTTTATTTTTATTTTGGCCTAGGGGAGCAAGAGAAAAAATTCCTGAGACACTAGGGTACAAAGATCTGGGAAAGTTTAGAAGTTTCTGTTCTACCATTTGCATGAATGTGTAAATATGTGTCACTGTTAGAAGTAAATGATGCTCCATGCGGTCGATTTTCCACATGTAGAATAGATAATGCTGGAAGAGTGTATGCAAATATATGATTCAGAGGTGAAATACCCTTAGGAAGCAATCCAGGTATTTGCTGATTTCAAAAAAAAAAGAGCCCCCAAACATAGATTGGCTTCACAGGGAAGACATGAGGTACAGAATACTTAAAGTGGGCCTTTTTACTATTTTTTCTCCCTTGTCTCTACTTAGATCCTATCTGTATATTGCAGGGTTTCTTCAGGCCAAATACGCCTTTCTTACCAATGCTTAATATGTTTTTAGATACCAACCCCATGGAACTAGTTTATTTATATTAAGCAAATATATATAAAATATATAAGATGTATATATAAAATATATATGTATATACATATTTCCCTTATGCTGTCCTTCAGTTGAACAAAAAGTAAGTTCTTCTATCATTTTTGCTTTCATAAATTATAAAGTGCTTTGTAGCATATCAGAAAGTCAGTTGCTACATATTGTCAAAGTATTTTAGCTTTATATTTTATTGACTAGCATTTATAGGTTTCATTATTCCAGAATTTCTCTCTCATGACTTATCCTGACTATGTCTGATGCTCATTGAGGTAGTTTCTTGATACAAGAATAGATTTAATTTGCCCACTTAAACTTATACTTCAACCAAGAATCATAACTACCAAGAGGCGGCAGCTACATTAATTACCATGCTTGTTGATCTGACGTAGACGTTGTTCTTCAGGTGGCAGTTTCCATCATTTGGCACCACTATGCCCGCCAATTTGCTATCAAGAGCAAGATGAGATGTCTGATCTGTCATCACCAGCAACAATCTTTTAGCTTCTTTTCTCCATCCAATATGGCTCTTAAAATAAACATGTAATTAGACCCTGTCCAATAACATAGATCTGCACTGTGGTCTTTATCTTAAGTAAACATTAAGTTCAAGTGCATAAACATTAAGTCAGGTTAGAATGATGTGCATAAATACAGTGCTGTTTCATAAACAGAATTAACTTTTATTTGTATATTCTCTTTGTTACTATAGCCATTTGACCACACTAGGTCTTGGCTAGAGATCTCTGGTGTCCCCCGGAGGAAGAACAAGCCATGTGTAAGAAGTGCAGAATGCCCAACATCATGTGAGGAGGGCGGCAGGCACTTCCTGGGTCTTCCTTGGATGGTGCTGAGTGACAAGAATAGCCCTTCTGGAAAGCATTTTCCAAGTGCATAAGTTATTCTTTCCCTTTTATCTTTTCTTATTTATAGCTCACCCTAAATTTAGCCCCTTGTCTCAACACATATCAAAATGAGTAACATTGATGACAAGTAACAGATAGAAGGTATTCTTCTATGCTGTTTTCACTTCATAAATCAAAAATAAAATAAGAATCCTAAATTCTTGTGGAGTTTTGCATTTGAGCATACACTCAATGGTGTGAAACTTCTTACCTCACAGACAGCAGCCTGGAGCATAGCATCAAAACCTCCTTCAGGTGTATCTATATTTCCAGAGATCTTCTGTCTATGAACTGCTTTTTCAAACTCAGTTATGTTCTCTGTCAAAGACAGCACATGGATGTATCCATGGGGAGGCATACAGTCTAAATTGTAGTCACTGTGTGGGTAAGAAGAAATGCAAATTCTATTTTGCTATACTTCCTTCAAAGATCCAAACCAATACTAACAGTTAAATTGTGTGGTTGGTACGAGAAGGTAATGCAGCTCTTGGTTTTCATTTTATTTTTTTGTGAAGGAAATTTTATTGGAAAAATATCTGTACTGTATAAAGTCAGGGAAAAGTTCAATATTGGTAGATATTTCTTTGTAATCAGGGAATAAGAATAGAACAGTTTGGTGTTCAAAAAAATAAAGAAGATTAAATATGTCATATTATATAATATAGAACATCAAAGGGATTTTATTATGCTAACATGTAGTATTAATTTTTAAGAAGAGATAAGAATTTGTAGTGGTCTCCTATCACATTTGACCATGGAGCAGCTGAAAAACATGTCTTGGGAAATGTTTTTTAAGGAGTTTAGTTAAAATTGTATATTATTCCTAGATTATTTTAAAATATTATGCTATTTTTAAAAGTGATGTTTGGTATACAATTATTGATGAATATTCAAAGCGCATTAAAATTGCTTTAAGAATTCCATGATGTCTCAAAAAGTGAGACTCATTCCTCAGGAGCATCCGCATGGGGAGAGGCAGACATTCCAGTCCCGCTCCCCTGCAACAGAGATGTTTTGGTAAATTAGAATGTGTACTGTGAAGCGATCTGGGCAATTTATGGAAGTAGGAACGAAGATGTTACAATGAAACATTTTATTAAAGAAGAACTAAACATATTTCTCTCTGAAAATTCAACAGGCTAATTATAGAATATTATGTGAGAAACTTGTATTTTTAAAGTCAGTTTTTGTTTCACATTTGGGTATATGCTATTTAAAATTATACTTCCAAAATGAAAAGAAAACAGCCGCTTTATAGCAAGCAGATTCTCACCTTTTGACCTACCTTCTATGTGCTAGCTGAGCTTTCTGTGAAGTCACATAATAAGCAAAAGAATTATGAACAGTCACAACACAGTGATGGGAAGATAGATGGAGTACTGGCAATGTACATACTATAAATTTGACAAACCTTAATTCAACAAATTTGAAGCCACCAAAAGGAGAAACAGGGCATTTTCAAAGGGGTATTTATATACATGGTAGCCTAGTTATTGGAAGTTTGTCCAAAAGTACTCATATTATTTGTGCTTTTTGGTGACAAAAAGTGAATGATATTTTTTAAAAATATAAAATAAAAATCCCAAGCTACAGATAATCTCAAACTTTTCAGGTAAGAACATACTTCCCCTCCAAGTATTTTCGCTTCCCATTTAAAAAAACAAAAGTGCAAAATTTAGTAATTCCTTTATATAAAAACAAAGTGAGACTTTATAAGAAAAAAATTTCATTTAGCATTATGAAATCCACCTCAAATACAAGATACCTGCATTGATTATGAATCCTTTCTGGGTGGATGCTAATGTATGGTGAAACTGTTTTATCAACATATGAGCCAAATCCAAGACGGAAGTCACGGGAGAAAAGTGCCATTTTCCTAGATAAATCATTTCCAACGGAATTTAGTTTTTCTATATTATTGTGCATTGATGCCGAGACATCAACCAGATAATAAAGATCCACAGGATATTTCTTCAGAGGATGAATTTTCAGCATAAAATTAGCTTCAGCTCCTAGGTCAAAGAAAGACAAATATGATGTATTTATTGTAAGTATCTCAGGATAAGCTGTGAATAAATGTAAGAGGGAATGTATTTATTATCATGTGAACGTGTATTTTTAACATCGAGAAAAGCACCACAGAAGACAAGTATTATTCTATCTCAAGAGAGAGTAGGCAGCTGTGTTTGTTTGAAGTTGGCTTTCAGGTTTGAAGAAAACCAGAAAGATATCTTAAGAAAAACTGCCTCTTATTGGATGCAGGTATAAATTCATTCTTTTGAGGTAAGTAAGGCATATTTACATATAAGCTGTGAAAACTCTGTTACTGAGTACACTAAGCTATTCAAAATAATTAGTACCTCATCAAGAATTATGTGATAAGATTCTTCTCAGCAGTTAGTTGTTAGAGGGAAAGAGGTGGTGGTCTAAAGAAGAGGGCCCAGCAGTGCCACCCTGAGGACCTGGGCAATGTAGGGGACAGCGCCTGTCCAACACATACTGGGCTCTCAACAAACGTATGTTGATGAGGCATCACAGCGGAAGGGAACTAGCTGACAAGAGCGTCACCACAGGGAGAACTGTGGGCGCTGCCCAAGGACCATCCTGTAGGCCTGGCAGCTCAGTATTTAATTTTTTGAAGGAGATGGCGAAAAGTTATCAATTTAAATACTTGGTGAATTTTACTTTTGTAAATAATAAAGCAAATGTTTTGTAAGTCATCACTATTTGTCCATAGAGAATATTTTGAGTGGAAAAAATTTTAATGAATAACTATTTTTATGGATACATTTTTGGTAGCCTGATCCTATTAAAGGAATCCTCTCATCTATCATATTGTATTTTCGGTCTTAATGTGCTTAAAAGTAGCAATATTATCTCTTAACTTATTTTACAAATCAGATGTTTTTCAGCCAGATAAAGGAATGTATTCAAAATAGAAGTTTTTTTTCTTTCTGATACATAATAATTATGGAAGAAAGGGGCTATTTACTCATCCCTAATTTGCCGTTATGTGGAGGAAACCCCTTCACTGTAACACTCCAAATTTTTCAGCCCAACAGTGTGGGAGGAGAAGTTGGGCCTGTGGCACCCGGCCCAGCCAACTCACGCCTTCCATTTAAAAGATGGGCTGCCTCCAGAGAGGCTCTGCTTTTTGGGTATCTGGTGAAAAAGCCCGCCCATCTGGAAGAGTCCTGCAATTCGAGTAGAGAATCTCAATTCAGCAGAATGATAGAATCCGGCAGACAGGGCTGGGTGGGTGAAACACAGAAACGGAGTATAATTAGTGAGAGTGGTTCATGAGGAGGAGCTTGAACTTTAATGTGTGGGTCAGGATTGAAGGTTTGTTTTTTTTTTAAACAAATTGTGTAGAGGTTTTTTAATCATTGACTTGGACATATGGCTGAAGGCCTTAGGCACTGGCCACATGGTATTTTCATCTTGGTGGACCATTGCAGTTTATCATGGCTCTGTCTAAAGCTCAATGGCTGTTTGTTTTTATAGAGTCATAGCAAAATAAACCAGTTACACATATTTTGCAAGTTGTTATATTGTCAGTTATCTCAGCCAACAGGGAGAGTCTGTGAAGCATCAGCAAAATGCAGTCCTTGGAGGCTTAGGCCATTCAGGGAGCTCCAACCAAATTCTGGCCACACAAGAGCCCTCAACATGCACCAGCTGCTCAGAGCCTAGCAAGCAAATCCTAGTTTCATTCGATGTTAGTAATTATTACTATTATTATTACTAGACTCTAAGCAACATTAGGGTAAGAACTGTCTATTCATCTCTGAAGCCTTTGGGTTTGGTACATGCATAGCCACTCATAATTATTTTTTAACTAGACAATATTTGAAGGACATTATTATATAGGCTTTCAAAAGCCCTCATATTTATGACAGTAAGATGCTAATATCCATGATTTCTTTCCCACAGTTTAGGGGGAATTTAAATAATGTCTCTCTTAAAAAGGAAAGGAGTATCATCTAGCCCCAAAATGTTTATGCTACTATGTATATTATCATCTCCAGGAAAGCATCATCCTGATACCTTTTGAGATTTTGAAGGCTCAGATCCTTGTTTCCTTCAGTTAACTTCAAAGGGAAGAAGTGAGTCTGTTACACAGAATAAGAAAGAGGACTTGGAGGAAAGTTGAGACCTACTTAGAGCTATTGCCAGTATTGGTCTGAATAGTCTGAAGAATTAATTAAAAGTTGTTAGAATGATTTTGAATCACTCAGATGATGGTGTGAATGAACATCTCTGAAGTACTTGCTGCAACAAATACAATTGGACATTAAGAAAGAAATTTTAAAATGTTCTCCATTAGATGAAATTGAAAAACCATAGTAGAATGTGTAAAAGTGTAGGAGGAAGAAAGAGCAGCCAATTACTATTAATTATACTTGGGCAGGGGAATGAGACGTCCCAAGAATGAGACTGATTCGAATAGCAGGGCACAGACTCCAGCGCAATCCTGAATTTTTGTTGTGGCTAAAATGGGGTGTATGTGTAGAGGTGGGAGAAAATGCATAATTTCTATATTTTTATGTTTTTTGGAAAAAAAACATTAATTTAAAAAGAATACCTAAAAAATCCTTTATTTTAAATTAAACTATACTAAATAAGGGACTTTTTATCAACATTAAAATGAATCAAATTAGAAAAATTTTTTGAATTAGTGAAGTATAGATTATACTAATCCTTATTATATATACATTATATTACTCTGAAGCAGCTTCTGTCTCCTCTCTTCTAAAGATTTCATTTCAGTGTTCTTAGGGAATATCAGCCAGGATCAGTAACCTATTCCTGTTATTATTTTTCTGTAAGATTGATAGGTAAAATAATAAAAAAGTACAGTTTACAAAGTGAAACATAAAGGAAAGTGTCATTTAAAGACCTCATTTTAAATATTTACTATTATATACATATACTAAAATTCCTTTAAAAATTTAGTCAATATATGATGTAATATAAATATCCATGAAAATTTTTAAAAATTCTTAATAGATGCTACATTGAAAGTCATGAAGTTTTATCAAAAAAGAACAAAGTGATTATCTATAACTAAATCAAATAAATAAAAATCAATTAGGGGATACATTTTACACTTAGGTATGCATTATGTCAAACCCTCAAGTTTTACATGTATCATGGTGGAAAAGACTTTTATTGCACATTATGAGGGGTGATGTTTCAATATATCTGGAGTTGATACAGTAAGTTTTTTATATTATGTCCTAAAGCTGGCAAATCCTTGATATCACAGTGCATTATTTAAATGAACTAAGTAAATCTAATTTAGTGACTATTTGCTATAAATGCAGATTATAAAATATAGTTTTGTTTTAGCTATGTTGGAAAGATGACTTACACACCTTAGACAGTTATATTAATTTGCATATATAAGTACAAATAGTAGTGGGAAATTGAACATATTCAAGGCCCATAAGGACTAACATAGGCATTAAAGCATTTCTCTTTCCACTCTTCTTCTACCTATGATCTCATCCACACTGTCTTCACTTACTATCTCATGTCGACATCTCCTGTGTCTCTATCTCCAGCCTGTACCTCTGCCCTGAACTTCAGCCTCACACGCATTAGTCACTACCTCAACCTCAGTGGTCTCGATTTCAACTCACTGCCACCCCCGCCACAGGGGGCAGCCTTCCCCCTCTCACCCAGCTGCTTGAGCCAGAGCCCCTGTACGCCCACGCTCCTCCTCATCAATCTCCAGCACCTGAGGATGCTACCTCCCTGCTATCTCTCAAGTCTGTCCATTTTTCTCCTGCCTCATTACCATTACTGCATTACTATCATTGTGGAAACAGCACTGAAATAATTTTCCAACTTTTTAACTGTTGCTTTATAGTCTTGGGAGGATTCAACTACTATCATAATTACAAAAAGGAACAAGTTAAAGTCATTTAAGTGTATAAATATAAATGCAACAAACCCATAAAAATGCATCTTGTATTAATAGTTTCAAATCTTCAAATATTTTTTTGAAAAGACATTGTTAAAGGATATAGTCATTAATTAGATACAAATAACATACAACCTTCATGTGTACTTCTTACATCTTCTTAACTTCTTATACCTAAGATTTTTTAGGGTTTCCCCTCTTGTTGAGTCAATTTTTAATCATATATTTTGCTATAAAATTATCTATATCATCAAGATTTATACATTTTATCATAGATTTTTTATTAATATTTTCTTAAAGTGTTTTTCCCTTGTTATTTGTTTCTCTGCTTATAGTCTGTATAATTAGTTTATATGTGTTTTGTCCTCTTTTAAATTAGATTTACCACCAATTTATTTATTTGATTGGGCTTTATGAAGAATGAGCCCTTGGATTTACATTCATTTTACTTTTTTTATTTCTGTTTTACATTTCATTAATTTTGCTTTATTCTTAACGTATGAATTTCTTCGTGTTTTTCTTATGGTAATTTTATTTTTGTTGTTCCTATATTTTTATTTGGATACTTAGGTCATTTTTGTTCATTCTTCTTTAATCATAAAAGCATTTAAAGTTTGAATTTTCCTGAGAGCAACTATAGTCACATCCCATATATTTTGATGTGTGTTGATGTTATTATTGTTATTATTAAATAGTCTATGACCACAGTTGTGATTTATCCTTGGAAACAGAATTTGTTTAGGAGAAGTTTTTCTTAGTTTCTTTGTGATTTAATATTTGTTCATCCTCTTGTTTGATTTCAAATTTTATTCCACAGTGCTTAGAGATATTGGCCTATGAAAGCAGTTTTACTTTTCAAAATTCAGTTTTCTTATCTAAAATATGACTAATTTCTGAAAATATTTTATGGCCTATGAAAATATTATTATATATAGTAAGTCCTAGGGACCGAATTGTGTCTCCCCAATTTATATGCTGAAGCCCTAACCTACAATGTGATGGTATTTGAAGACTGGGCCTTTGGGAGATACTTAGGTTTAGATGAGGCCATGAGGGTGGGGCCCTTATGATGGGATTAGTGCCCTTACAAGAATAGACATCAGAGAGACTCTCTCTCTCTCTCTCTCTCTGTCTCTCTCTCTCTCTCCCCCCTCTGTCTCTCTCTCTCTCTCTCTCTCTCTTCCTGTCACTCTCTTTTCCTCTTCAGGAACTGAACCCCCTAGCACCTTGATCTTGGACTTCCTAGACCCCAGAACTATGAGAAAATAAATTTCTTATTTAAAGTCACCTTGTGTATGGCATTTCCTTATGGCAGCAATAGAAAGTGGCAAGCATCACAATCTTTCATTTTTTGTGTATCCCTTTCCATACTGTTGCTCATATATGTCCATACTGTGTCATACAATTGTTTGTATGGTGAAAAGTATAGTTTTAATTGGAAGCTGGGAATATACTTACAGCCAAAAGAGAAATGGACTTTTTTTATCTGGTAGTCCAAGATTGTGGAAGAAATAGTTCAGCTTTGGAATAGGGAGGTTGTATGTCAATAATAGTTATTTAAAAATTTAATGACAGGACAAGATCATGAAATGAAATAATGAAATAATGAAGGCTTGAAGGCAAGTGCATGCTGGTTAAAACTAAATGCATTTAATTGAGTGATGCATCCCTGTGTACCTGAACTTATCTTGCCATATGAAGTTGTACATTGGGATTCTCTAGCATTGGAGGAAAATTAATAGTTTCTAGTGGCCTACTACATATGCCCAACTCTGGAATACCATGTAATGAAAGGGCGAATACAAGATAATTATGGGAGGGAAAGTGTGTATTAATCTCAGGGGCCATGACAAAGCTGCTTAAGTTATTATGACAATTATGAATTGTAGTTCTGTGTCTAAAAGTTTATCACAAAGGCTCTAAGGACTTAGCTTAATTCTCATCTCTTACTAATTAGCTATTCTACTAATAAATTCAGCAAATACTTATGGAATGCTTAGTGTATGGCCAGCATTCTGCTAGGCATTAGAGAAACAAAGCGGAATAAAATATGCTCTTTCTTCCAGAGCTCACAGTAGAGCAGGAACACAATCACACATAATGTGATCAAGTCTGGAAACACATTATTATAATATAGTAATATAGTGTGGTCAGATTTGCAGACAGTATCTGAGGCCACACAGCTAGCTAACTGCAGACACACTAAAGACTAGAATTCTGATTTCTTGATTCTGAGCCTATTGTTATTTTCACTACAACAACATTACCTGCTACAAAATATTAAATATGAGTAAATAAAGGTAAACGTAATTTTGAATTAAAAAATCATCATAGATTTATTTGGAAATCACCAAACCTGGACGCAGCTGGACCAATACTTCTCCTGGTGTCACCTGGGTATTAATTTCATTTTCACTTGGCATCACATGCACAGATGGGTATTCTATTGAATCAATCGAGCATCCTTTGCTTATTAAATTAGAAACAATATCACAGCGTTCACTCCTTGATCCACCTGAAATGAAATCCTGTTTAAAAGAAGGAAAATCACTGACATTTTTAGGCATATCATCTTAATTATAACCAAAGAAAATCACATTACAAATATTGCAAAGAAGCCATCTCCTAATATTTCACAAATTATGCAACTGTTCAAAACAGCTGCATGTTTTCAATAAGAGTACTGGCAAATTTGTCTTCAGTAAAGCTTTAATTTCTAAATCTTATTTAAAAAGAAGAAAATGCATATTAAAGATTTAAACCAAGTACTTTAAATGTTAACTGATCACTGTAAAATTATACCAGTTTAATTCCTTCAAAATATTTTACTTTGGAAAGACTGCTCCAAAAGAAAGCTTCTCCAAAATAGACCATTCATTCGTTCCAAATGTAAGCCTCAGTTCTCAAAGAACTCAACTGGTGTGTTTATTATATACTATTATGTTTGGAATATGAGAGCAAGTCTTCAAAGTCACATGCCTAATTAGGTACAGAAAATTCATAAGAGAATGAATTGGAAATCTATGTTTCTTAGACTATGAAATCTGCCAACTTCTTATTCACACAACAGTAATCCAATAAACCAAGGATGATCGATGCTTATAATGAGGCAGGGACATGAGATGGCAGCTCAAATTCTCCTGATTTTGCAGCTGAATCTGGAACTTTCATTACTATTCAACACTGGCTAGTTGATGTTTATCCAATAAACTTGGAATTAATGGAACAACCTTAAAATCTAGTTTATCTTAACTGAGGAAAAAGTTGATATTTTATTCTTCATATAACCATTCAGATTTTCTTCCTAAGAACAGAATATGTATTGAAACGAATATAAATATACTTTATTATAGATAATGTTGGCCTGAATTATTTGTGATATTTGCTTACACATTAGCTAGACATTTGCTTAGTGATCTTTCTGGCAGTGGCTATTTTGATATGGCATTCAGTCATTCCTCCTTTAGTTCAGCTGATTCAGAGAACTGGATTAACTGTCAATTAATCATTCAGTCAAAGAATGTTGATTGAATACTTATTCAGAGACAGAAATTTGTTAGGTGCTGAGAATACAGGATAGAACAAGATAGAATGAGTGTCTGACATCAAAGTCAACAGACCATCAATGAATTCTGCCATTAAGCAGGTGAGTGTAATTATCATCAGCATTAAAGTTCAGGGAAGCACAGATTGTCATAGGGTTATAGAGATGATCAAATTTAATATTAGTTGAATATGAGTTCACTCACTAGTTATGAACAAGGACATCCCTGGTGGTGGAGAGTTATTAGGTGGGATGGTGGCAGGCTATATAAAAACATTCGTACAAGGACTTTCATTTAATTCCCATCTCGAGTTAGAACAGGGATTGGAAAATTAGGAACAGTAGGACAAATACAACCTATGACCTGTTTTTGTATGGCTTTAGTAATAAAAAATTATTTTTACATTTTTAAAATGCTATAAAACAATAAAAAAGAGAACAGGCAACAGAGAGAGTGTGTAGCCCGCAAAACTTAAAAAATTTTACTATGTGACCCTTCACAGTAGTGATCCTTAGAGTGTGGAGTACACTTGTAATATAAATATAATTAGAAGACAATAAAGAATATTTCCTTTTCATTCAAGACTTTCATATTTCATTTAGTAAATGACTTCATGGAAACTGAAATTCAATTTACTTTGCTGTTGATCATACACCTAGATTTTAGCCTCAAGTTTAAAATGTTCAAAGCCTTAATTTCATGTCCAAATTTATCCTACATATTGATAAAACTTAGAGGAACTGAGTGTGAGATTTGGTTTATAAACAACTTAGAGTTCCTCAGAAGAAGGTTGCATATACTTCTATCTGTGTAACTTTCCTTCAGAAAGCCGCAGGCTAGATGGGGGTGGAGGGATGCCACCTGTCCCAGAGCCTGGGAGCCTGGGGATTATGTGCTCATTCATGCTCACATGACAAGACACAGACCAAGGGCCACATGTGCTTTACAGATGTAAAAACCCCAAGCCTTCAAATCAGCAAAAGAATAACTTACAAATAACTCTGATTTTTCTTTTCAGCCACGAATTTTGCTATTTGTATGTACAGAATAGAAAAGAATGGAATGTGGTTAATTCACTGCAACTACACATCAAACTATGCCATGTGACCTTTAAATGTCAAATCAGTTTGCTGAAATAGGCCAAATAGTCTCAATTATTGTGCAATGTCCAAATCAGCATGGCTGTTTTTACTACACTGTAAAAACAATGTTGTGCACATGAAACTAATATTATATGCCAACTATAATGTAAAATTTTTTTAATGTGAAAAGGAGGTGGAATGCTGTTTGCATTTTTAAATAGGATGGTCATATGACATTAGAACAAAGCTGTGAAGCATCAGAGAGGAAACTGCAGGAATTTCTGGAGGAAAAAAAATACACGAAGAGGGAACATACTGTATAAATGCCCCAGGCAGAAAGAAGTATGTCTGGCTTGGGCAAGGAACAATAGGGAGGCCAATGCAGGGGCCAGAAATAATAATAATAGGAATAAAGTAGCTAACTTCTGTTGAAAAAAACCCCTAAGTTATGAAAATATCGCCAATTTGACAATTAGGTTTGAAAAGGGAAGAAAAGACCATGGCATCAAAATAAAGAATGGAATGCTGCCCCTGTCCACTGTGGCCTACTTTTCCACTTTGTGTAAAAGAAAGGAATTTAAGGCCACACCCGTTTAATTTTTGGTGTTTTGTGGCATTTTAATTTCTTCTAATTCTTATGTTTTATGTTTTACTTTTTCTATAAGAAATACTTAAGCAAACTCATACTTCAACTGTCTGCATCTAAAACCTGTTTGGTGATGATATTTTGAGTTGTACACTTGAAACCTATGTAGTTTTGTCAATCAATGTCACCCCAATAAACTAAAAGAAAAACTTAGATCAAATGTTAAGTTTTTAAATTTGGCATCAAATTCTATAGTATAAACTTAGTTATGTTAAGGTTATTAATTGAATTTATATTACAGTCATGGAAATTTTATGTCATAAAAAAACTTCCTCACAAGTGTTTCATTGTGTTTATTATATAAGTATCCTAGTCTTTCTAAAATATATTACTTTATATTTTAAAAAGTAAAAATAAAAAATGTAACAACTTTGGAATGAAAAGCCCGTGTAGAAGTTACCCTGGTTGGCTTTCCTTCAGTTATTATTTTCGCTCATTTAATGTAATAATCTGGAGAGATATATAAGAAAAGTGTCTTCTACTTATTTCTGAGTCCTTTCGGCTTTCAAATTTGACAATCTGTACAGAAATGAAAGAATTCTATCATTTTCTTTTTGACAGTGAATGTCCTTTGTATCATTTAAAAAAAAATGATGATTCTAAAGAGAGAGGAAGGGAAAGAGAGACACAGAGACTGAGAAACATCAACTTTGTTGTTTCACCTATTTATGCATTCGTTGGTTGATTCTTGTATGTGCCCTGACCTGGGATCCAACCCTCAACCTTGGTGTATTGGGACAGTGCTCTAACCAACTGAGGTACCTCGCCAGGACCATATCATATTTTAATATAATTATGCTCCAAGGCTGCTCTCTAAATGTCTGGCTATGCGATCACCGGTATCTGACATATCAGCCAGAAGAGGAAGGGAAAACTGGTGAAGTCTTTCACATATGTTAAAAGGGAACATGAGACATTAAACCAGGTAATATTAATAAGAATCTGTCTATCTTGAATATTTTTCAATTACTTTTATGTAGCATGGAGAGAAAGAGAAGATAAAATACATAGAATGGCAGATTAACATGCTACACAAGAAGGTAGGCAAATTGAGCATATGAGGTTTGTCTGAAAAAAGTCCAGCCATTGCTAATATAATGAGAACGGTGTGCAAAACATATATGTAACTTGCCAGCCAAGGAGAGTAGACTAGAATGTGCATGTGTGAACAATGACAACCTCACTGTACTAGTCAATGGGGGCGGTAGAAGCCACTGTGCGAGTATGCGTGCTATGTGATTGTTCGCATTCAAAATGACTGAGAGAATAGAGCAATGACTCTGCATCCAATTTTGCATTAAGCTTAATCATTCCTCCATGGAAACTATGTGGATGATTCAGAAGGCCGCAACTATGGGCAACTGGTGATTGGCAGCTTCATCACGACAATGTGCCTGCTGATGCATCCTGTCTCGTGCAATTTTTTAGACAAAACATCAAATCACCCAGGTGGCTCAGCCCTCCTATAGCCCAGATTTGGCACCCTGCAACTTTGGATTTTCCTAAAACTGAAATCACTTTTGAAAAGGAAGAGACTTCAGACTGTCTATGAAATTCAGGAAAATATAATGGGGCACTGATGGCAATTGGGAGAACTGTGTGAGGTCTCACCCAAGGTGCCTATTGGGAAGAGGGCTGAGGTGTCATTGTCCTATGGATAATATTTCTTGGATCTTGTATCTTCTTCAATAAATGTCTCTATTTTTTATATTATATGGCTGTATACCTTCTGAACAGACCTCATATATTCTGTATACATTTTCTAGCAATCGTTTTTACTTTTTGTTGTTAGAAAGAGAGAGGGGTGGGGAAGAGGAAGTGAGAGAAAGAGAACACATAGAGAGGTTTTTTATCACTTTGTTATTTATAGTACAGTTGTCATTCTTATTTTAGTACTAGTTATTTTATCTACTATATGGTCCTAGGTTTAATTTTATTCAAGAGTCATAAAAGTCTCTTAGCTTAAGTGCTTACAATTAACTGATCATTAATTTAGCTTCAGGTCATGAATACTAAAGAAAAAAGATACCAATAAAATTTCTTTAAACTTAAAAAAAAATCTTTGAATTACAGATGACATTCAATGTTGTATCAGAATCAGGTATAAAACATAGTGGTTGGCTATTTACGTAACTCAGGATCACCCCAATAAGTCTGATACCATACATAGTTATTTACAATATTATTGACTATATTCCTTAAGCTGTACTTTACATCCTGTGACTATGTTGTAACTGCCAATTTGTACTTCTTAATTCTTTCACCTTTTCCACCTAGCCCTCTAAACCCTCTCCCATCTGGGAACCATCAGTTTGTTTTTGTATCTATGAGTTTGTTTCTGTTTTATTTTTTTTATTCTGCTTTTTTATTTTCACAGATAAGTGCAATTATATGGTGTTTGCCCTTCTTTGTATGACTCCTTTCACTCAGGATAATGCCCTCTTAGTTCATCCATGTTGTCCCAAGTGGAAAGATTTCATTCTTTTTTTATGACTGAGTAATATTACATTATACATATATATTATATTCCATTATATATATATATATATGTGTGTGTGTGTGTGTGTGTATATATATATATGCCACTTTTTATTTATCCATTGGCCTTTTGACTGGCCCATTTAATCTATTTACATTAAGGTAATTATTGATGGGTATGTACTTATTGTCATTTTATTAATTGTTTTCTCATGGTTTTTGTAGTTCTGTTCTTTTTTTATCCTCTCAGTCTCTTCTCTTGTATGTTGATGACTTTCTCTAATGTTGTGTTTGGTTCCTTTCTCTTTATTTCATGTGTATCTCTTGTAGATTTTTGGTTTGTGGTTTCCACATGCTTCCTATATACCAAGCTGTGTTTATAGCAGTCTATTTTAAGTTAACAGTCATTTGAGTTCAAACACATTCTAAAATCACTACCATTTTTACTCACCCGTTCCATGTTTATGGGTTTTTTTGTCATTATATTTTACTTCTTTTGTGTGTTTCTGTGTATCCCTTAATTTACTGTTGTAATTACACATGATCTTCCTGCTTTTGCCTTTTAACCTTTGTACTAGCTTTAGTGTTGGTTGATCCACTGCTGTTATTATGTGTTTGCCTTTGTCAGTGAGAATTTTTTTCTCTGCAATATGTTCTTGTTCATTTTTTTTCATTTTCTTCTTCTTTTTGAAGAAGTTGCTTTAATATTTCTTGTAATAACTAGTTTTGTGGTGATGAACTCCTCCAGCTTTTCTTTTACTTTTGACCAGCTTTGAAAATTATATGAGCCATACTTAATTTGTTACTGTTTATCTCTTCTAATCATGAACAGAGAAAACAGCATCTTCCTTCCCTGTCCCTCCACCCTTGCTGATTGAGGCATAAGAAACATCAGTTGCGTGCATGTCTAAGTGGTGTCTCATCTTTCACAATTAACCATTATGTTCTTCCTCTTGCTGATGCCAGGTCAGCCTATAGGAAGTGGACAGCTCCTTCTGAGTCCTAACGCTCGTTGCTTCCTCTAAGGTTGTGTTCTTAACACAGGTAATCCTCTGATTTTCCTAAGTCTGAATGAATTGCTCCAGAATCTCACCAAAGTTCTTATAATAACAACTTCAATTTTTGTAGGCAACATCTGTTTGCCAAACGCCTCCCACATACTATTTCACTTAATCTTCACAACAGTGTGTCATAGGTGCAGTTATTATTTCCATTTTAGAGCTAGGGAAAACTGAGCTTCAGAGTGGGTAAATTAACATGTCCAAATTTACGCAGTTAAAATGAAACCGACGGAAGTGGGATCGGAATCCAAGTTGATCTCATTTTAAAGCCTGCTTTTTCAGCCTGTAAATTAGACCACCCTGCACTACATAGAATATTTTGAGACATGAACAGCCAAGTCATACATGAGTATTTTCTGAGATCCCTTCGTAAGGATTTGACCAACAGCAAACCCAGGCTTGTCTTTCCTGCTCTGATAACTGCCCAACTTTCCCCCTTGGCGAACCTCCTTCCATGTGACCAGCCATTCCTCTCCAAAACCCTTCTCCCCTGGCAGGACCGACATTGCACCTCCTACAACTGTGACTCTGCAGATTTTTCGTGCTAGCAGAGGTGTGAGATGGAGAAGGCGTCCCTCTGGAACTCGACATTCTCTGTGGTTGGCATGGTGCATTTAGCTGACAACTGGGTTTCTGACCATGTTTTGAAAGCTCTTCTGAACAACACTCACTAAAGTTCTCAGCAATTGATGGCAAGCTGGCACAAACTTCATGACTCTACGGATCTTCCTTAGTGATACCATAAAAATCTAAAATGCAGTATTAGGTTAGGGTCAGGAACTATTAAGCCATGACACATTTTTAACAGAGAAAAACCTGGCAGTAAACTCTAAAATCAAGATTATAGAGATGAGGGAAAGGAGGCCCAGAGAATGGAGTGAGTTCTGTGTGGTCATTTGGCTCATAGGAAGTGGAAGAAATGAGATTGGGCCTAGAAACTTTGGAATTGTCCTGTCTATACCATTGCTTGGCTTCACGGGTTCTGGTAAAGCACTACTTAGTTTTGAGTGACATCTAATTTTCCCATTGGTAAAACCCAGTCTCCATTCAGAAAGCCTTGAGTCTACCAGTAGGAGAGGCACTTATTTTCAGGCAGGCTACTATTTTATGAACCTTTCTTGACAAGGTTCATAAAATAAAGTAATGTCTACCATCCTGTGCTACTTTTTAGCTTTTTTCTTACTCCTGGGAGATGCATTAGAGCAAGCAGGACAGGAAAGCTTGGAAAGAGAATGGTAGGCACAGTTTTTGAGCTAAATTAGAGGAGGTAAAGCTAGAGATTTCTCTTCATGTCAAACAAAAGGTCATTAAAGATCTGTCTGTTCCCAGTCCTGGGGGCTACATAAAAGAAATGCAAAGTTACCTAAGCAGTCTCTTAAAAGAAAGCCCAAATTAGCAGATGGCTTCTTCATTGCAATTTATTATATAAGGTAGTTCTCACTGAAGATTAATAACAACACTCATAACACAACTTTAGAGCCAAGAAAGAAGGAATGCATTATAATTATTTTACTAAGAAGTGATTGGGATATGTTTCTCTTGTTAGAATATAAAACACTAATTTTGAACAATAAACATTTCTGAATTATTTTCCATTCCACAGAATTTAGATGTACACAATATCACATGAGCAGCACCACATGTGAAAGAAAAGCACCCTCCCATTTCCCATAAGTAAATAATTGATGTACAGTGTTATGATAGAGTAAATTACTTATCTCCAAGTATTTCAAATGAAAACAAATAAAACAGACCAATAAATTAGCTGGCTTTTCTTTAATAAGCAAGTACAAGACAATGATCCAACTTGGATATATAACCTAATGCCCCAAGCTACAGCAAGAATTTCACACAAAGCCTTCTGACCTAGCAAAAGTTACTATCTGTGTTTGCCAATTTTCTCTATGGAACAGATGGAAAACATAAAGTGGTTTGCACTTTATTTCAAAATTACCATAATTTTCCTAATAAAATGGTTATGCTTTATATTCAGTCAGATATGCTGTTTCCAAGCATAAAACCAAATAAAATTTCCTGATGCTCATCAGTATTTTTTTTTCCTGATGCACCTTCAAGGCACAGAATGTCAGGGCAATGAAATTATGCTAGAGGGATGACAACTGTGAGAAAAACAGAGAGAGAGAAAGCAAGAGAGAGGGAGGGAAAGAGAGAGAAAAATAGGCACACCTCTTGAGCACACCATCCACATTCTGGATCCAACGCAAGGCACCTGGTGCAGGACACTGCATTTGAAGATGCACATCTATTGTTTTCTGTAATGGAGGACAAAACGAGGAGTTATGGTTTACTCTTCTGTTGGGAAGTATACACAATTCTAGAGCAAATGTTTTTTGAAAGCTGAAATAAGCTGAACAATTGCTTTAAGTACATGACATAAAAAAATAATATATAACTTCTTTGGGAAGAGTTAACCTGCTCACAGCTATTAATAGATACTGCATTTCCTGAAGACTTATTATTTGGTTTTATTATTTGGGGAAAATGAGAGTGGTAAAAATGTGATTTTAGCCAAGTTTTGGGGTTTGGCTTGAATTCTGCTGCAATAGTAGAGGACCCTCCAAAGTTTTTAATGTGCTGAAGTTTCACTGTATTTCATATTATTTGAACCAATGAGGTGTTTTTGGATTTAGAATTTTTCCTGTAAAAATAATCAAATACAGACCTCAATCTCAACATGTAAATCCATGTTGAGTCACAGTGAATGAACTTTCTGAGGAATAATCTTGATGAATATAAATTGTAATTAATCTGTGTTAATATTGTAATATTGATTATTTTCACTTGAAGGAAATCAAAACCAGATATATGACTCAGTATTTTAAAGGTAAAGTGGTTAAAATGAAGGAGTTATTTTAGTTAATTTAACTTCTCTGACTGGGTTACTTCAAGATCATTACCTATTCACTTTTCCATTGATACCCACACTCGCCTGTGACATTTGAATAACATAGTTGTGCCTAGAAACTATTCACCTTTATCTCTCTAGCTACTAACTACTTATACCATTAAAAAGAGGCTCATAATTATAGACTTAAACACATAAAATATAATAATGAGTCAAATTATTTTGAGTTGTTAGTGGAATAATCACATGCTTTCTATATTCTTCCTACATGCTTCCTGCATTCCACCCTTTATTATTTTCCGTGAAATGTCCCAAGGACACTGGAAATCCCAGCATCCTGTCCGGCTCATGCATAGGCACACAGTCAATAGGCTTACATAGGCTTACATAGGCTTATAGCAGTAATGCTGGCTGTGAGCGGGTCACCATCCAGGTGAGAGGAAGACTATTTCAGCAAACAGTGAAATACAGTGTGATAGGTACAAGAGAGATACCACCAAGGCCCTTGGAACACAGTGAGGAGCTTGTCACTCTGCTGCAGCAGGAAGGGCAGGGGTTGTGGAAAGGGCATGTTCAAGGATGTCTGCCCCAGAGGCTGTGGTATCTAGTGTGCTTCTTTGCCATCTCACTTTATTTCTCCTAATCTGTGTTTATATCTTTTTAAAAATGTAATAGGCATGAAAGAAGAGCATGTGGGTATGCACAATCACTCTGACATGGGAGTTTGAAAGAGGATAGAGGCCACAAAGTCTCTAGCTGTCCCCATCCAGTTGGTTTATCTTCTTCTTTTTCAACTTGCCCCAAACATTCTAGAATACAAGGGTAAAACAGTTGTGACCGGGAGGTGGCATGGGATGGGTGTTGGCAGGGGGAGGAAAGAGAGAGGAACTGTAAGAGAGTAATCATAGCAGAAAGGTGCTAACTATGGTGGGAGTGGGTATTCTTCCTATAACTCCCCAGACACCAATGAGTTAAGCTGAAAGCATCCTTTCCTAACATCCCTGCTGTTCTATTACCTCCTCCCTTGCACCCTTTGTCCTTGGCTTTATATCAACTTTTAAAATACATTATCTAAAAATTCCTCACTAAATAGACACACTGGCCTAGAGTACCAAGGATAAAAAATAACTAATGTTTGGGGCTCCCTTTACTACCATGTGGCCACCTAACTATGAAGACTCCATAGCCTAAAACCTTTCTATGTGGTTTAGCTTACAAAACTATAAAACCTGCTTATTCCTAAAATATTCAGAAGAGGGAGTGACCTTTTTACTTGTTCCCAGAAAGAAAAAGAATTTAGGCCTAGCAATTAAGCACATTTGCAGACCTAACTTGACCTTTACCAACTCTTAAACTTGACCCAACTGGGAAATGGAATTAAGTTTATTACAGATCAGACTTCACCAAGCCTTTTATTGAATAGGTAGGACTTTTGCTCTGGCAGTTAAGACTTCAATCTCCTGGAAGGGAAGTAGCAGATTCTACGACTCTGGTCTTCATGTTTGTAATGGTTTTCTGACTCTGTCCTAAGTTAACCCAGAGTCAAGTTCAAGTCAGGCTCCTAGTTTTATAGTGCATGAGGTTAATAATGAATGTACAAGCAAAAAATCTGTTTTCTTTGTCTTCCACTTTCTGACTGCTTTCTTTAAAGTGTTCTAGGCCATGCTCTGTTCTCAAACACCTAAGGATGATGACCAAGAGGGATAGAGACTTTGGTTCTGTCAATACTTCCCTGGTTCCAAAGCTGACATTTCTCAGAGTCTACATAACTACTGGAAAATAATCCCATAAATGGATATGGAGGAGGTAGGCCTTACGGTTCTGCAGAACTGGAGGAAGGCCATAAATTGAACTCCATGGAAATAGAGTCAAATGTTATTGCTGGAGTCTGTCATGGTTAGACTTCACAAAAGACAAGCCAGATACACTTTGGTAAGCAGAACTTTAAGGATTTTCTTTTTAATTTTAAAACATGCAAGTAAATAAATACCTAATACAAAAATATCACACCAATTATTGCAATTCTTTATACTAAATTGACCTGCTACTGTTGGGGTTATTTGTCACTATGTGTGGGGATTCTCTGTGTTTGTTTCTCACATACATTTCTGTGCAAAAGAGTCCTTACACTGCACACATCAATGTGTGACTTCTGTTTACAGACAGGGGCAGTTTGTCACCTGCCTCTGGGGCTACTCATTTCATTCCCATCCCTGATTCAACCTCACAGGAAGGCTACTTTCCAGACGTGGTTTTCTAGCAGCTCTCATTGCTGACACCTCATTAGAAGTTGTGCCTGATTAGGTTTTCTTCCGTCTATGATAGTGGTAGCTTCTTGTCCAGTTATTTGTCCAGTGATGTGGTATTAAACACCTTGTTCTTTATGTTCTAGCACCATATTTCATTAAGGATAGTTTTTTATGGATTGTACTAGAAATTTTAAGCAAATGGAGGTAGAATGATAATATTTTAAACCACACACCCTCAGAACCCTCTTCTGTATCATGTTTTTTTAGTCCTAAGTGCCTCACAAATCATGTCATTAAAAAATGTGCTGCTATGACAGAAATCAATAGAGAATTTAACATCATATTGTCAGTAAGTGTGTACATGCTGAATAATTCTATTCCTTCATCTCTTAGCATGGGTTGAGAGTCTCACTTTTTCTCATTTTCTTACAACTGGAGGTAACAGATGTGATGAGGTAAGCATTGTAAATGGATACTAGGAACAAAGTTCCTAATTTTCATAGCACTGCTCCATAGTAGCCATGTGCCCTTAGGCTACTTATCAAATTCTCTGAGGCTTCATTTCCTCCTTGTAACACAGGACTAACTATACCTATGAGGTTGGTCCAGAAAAAGCCCAGCCACTGTTAATATGAAAATGGTTTGTGTGATATCCATGTAGTTTAGCAGCCAAGAAGAGTGGACTGGATTGCGCATGTGTGAACAGTGATGACTTCGCTATACTAGTCAGTGAGGGTGGTGGACACCGTTGAGTGAGCACGTGTAACTGTGTTGCTATCGCACTCAAACTGACTGAGTAGAGCAACAACTCTGCATCAAATTTTGTGTTAAGCTTGAACATTCCTCTGGGAAATCTATTCAGATGACTCAAAAGGCCCCAGCTATGGGCAACTGGTGATTGGCAGCTTCATCATGACAATGCGCCCGCTCATGCATCACATAGTATGCAGAGTTTTTTTGAGAAACATTAAATCACCCAGGTGTTTTAGCCCCCCTACAGCCCAGATTTGGTGCCCTGTGACTTCTGACTTTTCCCCAAACTAAAATCACCTTTGAAAGGAAAGAAATTTCACACTGTCAATGAGATTCAGGAAAATACAACAGGGCATCTGATGGTGGCTGGGATAACGGTGTGAGGTCCTAAAGTACCTACTTTGAAGGGGACTGATGTACCATTGTCCTATATACATTGTTTCTTATATCTTGTATTGCTTCAATAAATGGCTCTATTTTTCATAGCACATTGCTGGATACCCTCTGGACAGACCTCATATATTAAAATACTGATATGAGGTGAAATGAGCAAGTATAAGGAGGCCAAGAATAGTGCTTAGGGTATAGCAGACACTGAGTACAGGGACTGTTGGAGTGTTATTATAATTAATATTATATGTTATATGCATATATACACATATATATTCATATACTTGTATTAATTCTAGCTTTAGAAAAAGGAAGGCATTATGCATCTCTAAATCTGTTGTAAATGTAATTCTCTGTCTTTAAAATGAAAGTCACTTGGTTCATAAAGATAAAGGTTTAAAAATATAGCTAATATATAAAAATACCTATTAAGGTAAAAGTTACTGTATTTTTGTTATTTAAAAATGGTTCTTTAAAGCCAGTTTAGTCAAGTATACACACATCGGTCTCATCTATCACAAATACAATTTTAGCATTAGTATACTTTAATTTCTAAAAATGTCTTAGAATATCTTCATTTTATTCACACTTTGCTAAGTGAACATTGACTTAATCTGAATGATTTTTTAAATTATTTCCCATAATTAAATGTTTAGATGCATGTGAAATGACCTCTATAACTTTCTGTCAGGAGGTATAATAAATATCCATTGTTAACAGGATAGAATACACAAAAATCAGGAAACTACATATTCATGACACTCTTTTAGGTGTTCTTTACTTTGGATATGGGTTTATTCATAACATCTTGAGAATGTTTAATCTATAGAAGTGAAAGGAAAAAGGAAATGGGCCAAAAATAAATAAATAAAACTAAAGAAGGCAATAGAAAATTATGTTAGATTGAGATCGTTCTTTAAATCAAGTGATCAGTGAAAGTTTTTGGAAACATTTTTAATGTTTTTCTGCTCTAAAGCCTAAGCCACAAACTTTTAACAAAATTTGAAGGATATCC